AGAGAGCAGTCGAACTCCCCGGGATACTGAAGCAAACCACACTGACAGCACAAACACAGAATACCAGAGAAACGTTACAGGCCATCGAGTCTCACCGTGAGCGCCCCTCCATCGGGGGAGAAGGGGGCGGTGCACAGTTCGTCCTCGCCCTGACAGACGCTCCGACTGCCAAAGAGGAACCGTCTGTGATGAAACCGAAACGGGAAGGGTTTGCCCGCCATTCTCTTCATCCAGCAGCAGCTGGTATGAAGGAAAAGTGTTCCCCGAAGCCGGCGTGTCCAAACTGTCCGCTTTCAGTCTTATTTGCACCCCAGGCTCAGAAATAACAAACTGCACCAAATCCTGGACCTCAACCGAACCTGCACCACCCAGAAATATCCCAGCAAGCATCAGCATCGCTGCCCCGAACACACAACGACAGGCAGCGCCGAGCGGGACTACGGCGGCTGTAACATGTCCAGACCAGGTGAAAACATGTGTCCACGAAACACCTGAACGCACCAGCAGCACAGGGATTAACCCACACGAGCCCAGAACATCAAACAGACCAACATCACACCAATCCCAGGATCAAACCACATCAATGACCAAACAACAGAGAGGTGGGTCAGAGGTGGGCCCGGGTCACGAGCTTCGCCGCACTGACACCGCCGCCCTCTGACTTCCTGTCTCAGTCCCGGGGTGCCTCGGCTAGCTGACTGTGATGTTTCTGATTCACATCTGAGTGCAGCTGCCGATGCTCTGCATGACGTCGTCGTGGACAAGATTAGTCGTGTTTTTCCAGCATTGACACAGATTTTTGTGACTTTCTCGCAGTGACTTTACCGTCTCACACTTTTGTAGTTTAGGTGACAACACCCGAGTTCCTGCTGCAGCTTCGATGTCATGAAAATTCAAACTGAAGAATTATAGCCTGAACTCTACATTAGGGCTGTGTTACATTAGTGTTTCTCTGCAGATACTTCCAGGAATAACTCATGAACCTCAGACGTGGAAATTAGTCTCTGAGATGGACGGTCAGACATCTACAGGTTAATGATGACTGGGATTAAACCAAATCGGGGCTAAAACAACCAAAAATATCAGCAGACTTAAAGCAGCAGACCCGGTTTGGGACAACCGAGCACCAAACAACACGTCACTCATCCAAGACTGTGAGAAGATTCAAGCTAAAACCGCAAAAAGCAAGATGAGCACCGCCCAGCACGCCAGCTCAGACCAAACTACAGACGTTTTACTCACATGTGAAAGTCTCGCCTTCACCACCAGGCTTGGATGTGTATGTGTGTGTGTGTGTGTGTGTGTGAGTGTGTGTGTGTGTGTGTGTGTCACTCCTCTGCAGTCTGATAACCAAGTGAGCTAGCATTAGCTGATAACTTAGCATGCTACCCTTTTGTCCAAATATGGTCACTTCCTGCTACAAAAATAACTAAAAACTCAGAATGTGAAATTAAAAAAAAAACAAAAGCTGATGCATGACGTCAGAGGCCTATGTCCATCTTTTGTGTACAGTCTGTGTTGCCGGGCTCAGTGCCTAAAGATGTTTTCTTGGCTTGTTGTGTCAGCAGATTAATGTGTTCAGTTCAATAAACATCCTAAACTCTGATCTGCTCCTCACAGACAAAACTAGCCTGTGCAGGTAACATTAGTACAGGTACTGTTCCCCTGATAATCCATAATAATCTGAATAAACTGAAGCTTCACACTGTGATCGTGGGCATGTCAGCAGCAGGCACGCTGCGAGTGTGCTGCAGTAAGTCAGTCGTTACTCAGGTATAGTGCGTGTACACTGCTGTGACACTCTCACAGGGACAAACTTTGAGTTCAGTCATTTCAACATAAACAAGAGTTTAGCAGAACCAGCTGTTCAGGTATCGATCAGCACTGATCGGTTATTGTTTCTGAGAATCTTTAA